TATCCAACTTCCTTGTCAGCTGCAGGGAAACAAGTCTGGCCACAGGCCCCCCAGCTCTGGGATTGGTCCATGGGCCCAAGAAACGCCTTATTTAAAGCCCATTAGCCTGTGCCCAGATGGTTGTAATAACTTTTAGGGCTGACTAAGTGTGCCTGACTACTTTGCTTGTTCCTGTGACCTTTTGCTACCTTCACGGATTCCACTACCTCTGTCTTCTGCTTGTCCTGACCTTTACTACATCACCAGATTTCTCTACTGCTTGCCCAGACCTTTCTTACATTACTGGATTCCTCTACTGTCTGCTGCCTGCCCTGACCTTTGCTATCTTATTAGATTCCTCTACTGTCTTTTGCCTGCTATGATCTTTGCTACTTTACTGGATTCCTCTTCTGTCTGCTGCCTGCCATCACCTTTGCTACCTTACTGGATTACTCTTACGTCTGCTGCCTGGCATGATCTTTGCTACCTTACTGGATTCCTCTTCTGTTTCCTGCCTGCCATGACATTTGCTACATTACCAGATTTCTCTACTGTCTGCTGCCTGCCCTAATCTTTGCTACGTTCACTGATTAAGCTTGCTGGTAGCCACCATTTCTGTCTTCACCAGAGAGCCTTTCATCTTGTATTTTCCGTAGATTTACGATACATCTACTGTCTTCTACTTTGAGTCCGCTTGCAACATTCTACAGCCCGGGTATATAGATTGGTGTATTAATCCTAGAAGCAACTTATTGCCTTAAGGGAAGGGGGGGGGGGGGGGAACTAAAAGGAAAGATGATAGCCTTTCATCTTGTATTTTCCGTAGATTTACGATACATCTACTGTCTTCTACTTTGAGTCCGCTTGCAACATTCTGCAGCGCGGGTATATAGATTGGTGTATTAATCCTAGAAGCAACTTATTGCCTTAAGGGAAGGGGGGGGGGGAGGTACTAAAAGTGAAGCTGCATTTGCCCACTATTTACTTTGACTGGAGTGTCTGTGTTCAGACCTTGTCCTGAAAAGTCTTGAAATGAAACACTGGGGCAATTCTGTTTGTGTGAGAAAATGGGGCTAAAGGCTTTGTGGAACAGGAAGACCGAGCATGCGTAATCCAGCCGTTTGCTAATATAGAGATACTGTATATGACAAAGGCAAACCTTGCCATGCTTCTTTTTTTTAACGTTTTTTTAACGTTGACATTTGGTGCATTAAGGCAGCTGATTCACTTTGAAAGGGTCCTTAACAAACCTGAAAACATGAGTGCAGCCCATTTTTGGGTTATGTGGCGCACCACAACACCCACTGCATTTACATCTGTGCATAGTGGGGTACAGAAGGGCAGGTGCACTGTTTTATACTTTTTATGTGTGCTGGGCTGCCATTTAGAATTGCACTACAACACACATATACAACACATTGCAATGTATTAGGATGACTGACACAATTTAAAACATAGGTTTTAACATGACTTTCTGCACATGCAAAAGTATGAAGCAAATTAAGGGCACCTTCACACCATGCATGGCATTAACACACATGCAGGCAGCACACAAAAAACGCACTTGAGCATTTTTGGCAAAGCAGTTCCCACTATGTCATGCACTGCACTGCAGGTGAATCGGCAGCTACTGTACAGGTGCATTGAGGCATCATTGTAAATTAATGGCACAGTAATGGACATCATATCATGTGTTATGGCCCCTTCAGACCTATGCGTTGTTGTTTCACGCTGTAAAATGCACATTGCAATGCAATTCATTTACAACGGCACCCCAAATCCCAAGTACAGTAGGCGCCAATGGACCTGTAATTTAAAAATATCGGGCTACTGTAATGCAGTGCACCTCAATGTGCAAAACACTGCAGATAAAGGTCCCATTTCCACCTATGTGCTCGCCATGTAGGGTGCACGGTAACGCTGATGCGTAGGTGTGAATGAGCCCTTATAATTCACTATAAAAACACTCTAACCTGCAGCTTATAGATATGAACCCGGCACATAGGAAAGAATTGTATTTGTACTTGAAATGCATTTTCATGCAGCAAAATTAATGTGTTTTTTCTGCAGGCAAATGAACGATTGCGAATAGGCCCTAAAACGTGTGGAATAGACCGCAAAGGTCAGAAGTCTACGTCCACACCTAGGTGTTTTGTTGCTCAAAGCTAAGCAAGACAAAACACTGAAGACAGGGAATCCCATTCATTTCTATGGCCCCTCTTCAAACCTGAGCGTTTTTTCGCAAGCTGAAAAACGCATGTCACTGGAAAAAGTGCACAAGCTACTTTTTGGCAGATTACCGCACTTTTTGGTCCCATAGACATCAGTGGGAAACATTGTGTAACAAAACACTCACCCCACGTTCACACCTGCACATTTTGTGAACATGCATCATGTTCGTGCGCTGCTTTTGCCGCGCGTCCCCATTCAGTTCAATGGGGCATGAACGCACCACAAACGCAGCAAAAAAACTCAAGTAGCAGATTTTGTGACACGCATTCTGCGTTTTCTTCCTTCCATGTTTGTGGGAGTTTTCATGTGTGCAAACATGTAAAAACGCACGTCTTCCTGCCCACGTTTGGGGTGCCATTAGAAATGAATGGCAACGCAAGTGCATTGCGCATTTTGCCACAACGCTACTGTTGCCAAAGTGTGCGTTTTTGTACGGGTTCCTGGACTGCACAGGTGTGAGTGCAGGCATAGGTATTAACAGGGGCCATAGTAATAAATGGGATTCCTTCTCATGAACGTTTTGTCGCGCTGAGCTTTGAGCAACAAAACACCTAGATGTAAATGAGTACAGCTCTCCTTGAGGCTCTGTTCGCACCTGAGCGTTTCCTTCATGCGCATCAAGCGAGAAAAATTTGCGTTTTGACGCGTGTTAGCGAAATGCACAAATTAAAAGAAACGCGCTTATGGTGCCAGGAAGATACGTGGTTTTCCTTTGGCCTCATTCACACGAGAAAAAGCTGATACGTACAGCTGCGTGCTGCGTGCATGGCCGTATGGGCAGCTCCCGGTAAGGACAGGTGCTGTGTGTGATTAGTACGCAGCCCCTGTAATTCTCTATGGGAGTATGCGGCTGTACGCTGCCCTACGCTCACCCGCCCTGCACATCCGTGCAGGTGTCCGTACTCGTACGCTGACAGGATGGATCCTGTCTGCGTCCGAGCCGGGACACCAGCGCAGACCTGCACTTGGGGTGAGCGTAGGGCAGTGTACAGCCGCATACTCCCATAGAGAAGGACAGGGGCTGCGTACTAATCACACGCAGCACCTGTCCTTCCCGTGAGCTGCCCATACGGCCGTGCACACAGCACGCAGCTGTACGAATCAGCTTTTTCACGTGTGAATGAGGCCTTTGAGTTTGCACACGATAAAACGAGCACGAACGTAGAAGGAAAAAAAAAACGCAGAATAGATGTTGTAGATTTTGCTACATGCACTACTTTTCTGCGTGTATACGAACCTACTGAAATCAATGGGGACGCACGGAAAACAAACACACGTGAACGCTCAAAAAGTGTTCACGCCTAGGTGTGAGCGAAGCCGGAGACTGCACGTTTTACCACCCATTGCTACAATGCACGGTAACACATTCATTTTGAAGGGCAGCCCAATGCACGTCAATGCTGCGAAGCCTGAGACTGCACGTTTTACCGTCCATTACTACAATGCACGGTGACGCATTCATTTTGAAGGGCAACCTAATGCACGCCAACGCGTGTGCATTTTGGTGTAACAAAACGCAGAGATGCGAACCATCTGTGCGTTGTGGTGCGCTGCATTAATAAAAAAATAACATAAAACCTGCGTCATTTGTGCGTGGAAAGCCCATTTAAAAGAAATAGGCTGCTTTACCCTATTGCATGCTAAGTTGTGAGCGGTTGTGCACCACAACACAGCAGCCCTGCAAGTCCATAAGTCTTAAATGTCACATGTGCATTGTACAGCCTGTGCACTGAGCTCTCTCTCTCTCTCTCTCCTATCCCAATGACTGGAGCAGATCAGGAGGAGGAAGGGAAAGAGAGAGAGAGGAGGGGAGGGGAGGGGAGGGGAGAGAGCTCTGCAGCCATTGCCCAGCCCAGCCCCTAGCAATCCTGGGGGAGGGGAGCTCCATAGCTCAGTCTGTGTTTATTGCAGCTTCTGCCTGTATTTATGCAGAAGAAGGGGGGAGGGCAAAGAAAGAAAAAAGAGGAAAAAAAAAAAGAGGAAAAGAAAGGAAAGAGGGAGGGGGCAGAGGGAGACAGCAAATAACTGATTTTCTCCTATCTATCTCAGGCACCACTACTGCACTCACACCCTGCTGCAAATTTGTACCTTGCAGTTTTTTTTTTGCTTTTGCAGTTTATTTTGTACAGCGCAGATTTGGATTTCCCTTCCTGCTGGATGTGGAAGGGGAAAGACAAGCGTGCAAGGAAGAGAGGGATGCAGCCTACGGGCCAGGGGGCTCCTGGAAAACCTGGGGATCTAACAGGCCTCTTGGATATACCAAAGCTGGATCTGCTTTAAAAGCAAGAAAAAAAAACAAAACAGCCAAGTCCCAGTGGAGCAAGACACAGAAAATAATCAGCTTGGAGGATCTCATTCATAAAAATTGCTCTATTATACTGAATCGGTGCATCCCAGAAAAAATTGTTGTTTTTTTTTAATATTTGAGATCACGTCTAGGATCGGATTAAAAAAAAAATGCCTTAGCATTTTTTTTGCAGTTTTATTTTTGCTATTTTTTTTTTTTTAATCAGCAATTTTTGATTATAATTTATTTTAAAGCCGGTCGGCCCTCGCTGAGGGAATAGAGCCTTCGACCGATTTGGAGAATGAACAAGGCTGCAAAATCTAATTTCCAAGACGGGGGTTAAAACTTTGCCTTGTCAACACAATAACAGCTGTTTAAACAGGATTGGATATTTTATTTTTTATTTGTTCTATATTCTGTTTTGTAACACTGCGGAATGTTTAGCCAAGGAAGTTATAACAAGAGACTGTAAGCTTTTATTTAATTTTAGTTTTTTCAAACTGAAGTGTAAGAAGTCATTGTTTGTTTTTTTTCCAAATAGGAAGGCAATGCAAAATGGTTTTGACTGTCCCTTTAACAAATGGTAGTGGCATTAGGGTGCAGTGAAAAGCCTGTACAGTTCTTATATATAGCTCCGATTTCCTTCAATTTGGAAGGGACACGCTGGATTTTGGGATACCCATTGCGAAAATGAGTATTAGCTCACCTCAGACGTCAATTGACAGGTAATTCCCTTTCTCGTTCCATCTTTGTATGTCTGTCTGCCTTTCTATATGTCTGTTTTTCTATCGCATACAATGTGTTTGCAATTTAATTTTTTTATTACCGGTATTTGCCTTTTGTTATTGCACTCCATTACAAAAATATATATTTTATGTATATTTTGCTTTCATGTGCCTTGTGCTCTGTATGCAGTTGTATTTTAACATAGTTAATCCATTGTTTTTTTTTCTTATATTTCTAAGGCGTGTACGTGTGTCGATTTTAATTTCTATGATTGTGCAGTCACGTGATTTATAATAACAGGGGAATTGTTGTGGTGTCCCTATGAATATAATCTATATCAGCCAATTATATATGACAAAGTTAACCTAAGCCCCTACCTCTGCCCCTCCCCTATTTCTAGACCTTTACCAATGCTACCCTCTGAACCATGCACCAAATTACGGGCAATAAAAAGAATAGCTCAGTTTAGAATAACATATTTAAAAATCGATAAGATTATTTTGGCTTGAAAAATATAATGGTAATATCCAATATTTTTCTGGTAAATCACTGTTGAATTACAGCCAGATTTATTGGCTGACAGCTGTACACAAAGTGTATTTAT